TCTTATAATGTGAACGGTTGAGGAGGAATTGTGATTGGTATATTTTGGAACATTGGTTCGAACAAGAATGTGATAGTTGAGAAAGGAATGATTCAAAAGAGGATGTGTTGTGATTATTCCCTTGCCGGGACGTGTAGACTATTATTATGTACTCTCCCTTGTCGGGATATTTGGGCTGTTAGCTGTACCCTTGCCGGGTTAGAGTGTTATGTTGTCGAATTCCCCTAATGGGGCCTTCTTTACAAAGTCAGATATTTTGAATTATAATATGGGATCGTGTGGCGCGCCGACCACTTATATATTATGAAAATGGGATCGTGTGGCACGCCGACCACTTATATACTATAATATGGGATCGTGTGGCACGCCGACCACTTATATATTATGAAAATGGGATCGTGTGGCACGCCGACCACTTATATATTATGAAAATGGGATCGTGTGGCGCGCCGACCACTTATATATATGAGCTATGGTTTTGAGATAGTTTCGTCGTTATATCCATTGATCGGTATTCGCTGTATTTTTCCCGAGCATGTCCTCTTCCCCTTTTTAGTTGATATTCTCTGTTGTTATTTTCTGTTGTCTTGTATATATTTATCTGCACAGGTTGTTTTCGGTAGGCCCTGTCTAGCCTCGTCACTACTTCGCCGGGGTTAGGCCAGGCACTTACCAGCACATAGGGTCGGTTGTGCTGATGCTACACTTCTGTGTTTTTTGCACAGATCATAGTACCGGAGCAGGAGCCTTTGGTCAGCAGTAGGAGCGTTGGGAGCTTACTTCAGTCCGGAGATTCCGAGGTAGCTTGCTGGCGTCCGCATGGCCCGGAGTCTCTCTTATCTCTGCTTTTCGTTTGATTTCCCTTGTATCAGATCAGACAGTACTGTATACTCATTCAGACTTTGTATTTAGTATTCAGTAGAAGTTCGTGAGTTAGTGACACCAGATCTGGGTACAGGTGTATGTGAAATTCCGTACTTGGTTTCTGTTATTTATGTTTCGAGATTTCCGCTTTTATGTTAATTGCCTCGTCCTTCTTTATTTTGCTAAGGATAATGAGAAAAGTGTTAAATTAATTGGCTTGCCTAGCTCCTATCAGTAGGCGCCATCACTACTCCCGAGGGTGGGAAATCCGGGTCGTGACAAGTTGGTATCAGAGCACTAGATTACATAGGTCTCACAACTCACGGACAATCTCGGTAGAGTCTGAGGGATCGGTACGGAGACGTCTGTACTTATCCCCAGAGGCTACGGAGTTAGGAAAAGTTTCACTTTTGTTCTTTCCCGTCGTGCGATTCTGTTTCTCAAATATTGATTGTCTTTCTACTCTGTTCTTTCGCAGATGGTGAAAACATGTGCTTCCTCTTCCACCGCGTAGCAGCCCGAGCCCCCAGCAGCAGCTCCTGCGAGGGGCAGAGGCCGAGGCCATGCCAGAGGTCGAGGCCGGGGCAGAGCTCAGCCCCGAGCAGCAGTCCTAGAGGTGGAGCCTCATGTTGATTATGATGAGGAGGCTCCAGCCACAACAGCTCCGGTGGGCCCAGCTCAGGTCCCAGAGGGGTTCATAGCCACCCCAGTTCTTCAGGACGCTCTGGTCCGATTGGTAGGCTTTGTGGAGAGCGTCACTAGAGCGGGTTTGCTTCCAGTAGCCCCAGCCACTTCCCAGGCTGGAGGAGGGGTTCAGACTCCTGCTACACGTACTCCGGAGCAGGTAGCTCCCCAGGCTCAGGTTCCAGTGGTTCAGCCAGCGGTGGCAGCTCAGCCGGGTATTGTGACTCAGACCGGCGATGGAGCGGCTATGTCTTCAGATGCTTTGTGGAGACTTGATCGGTTCTCCAAGCTCTTCACCACCACATTCAGCGGTGCTTCATCAGAGGATCCACAGGATTTCTTATTCAGCTGCCATGAGATCCTTAGGACTATGGGTATTGTGGAGACCAATGGGGTCGACTTCGCCACCTTTCGGCTTGCAGGATCCGCCAAGACTTGGTGGAGGGACTATTGCCTATCTAGACCAGCAGGGTCTCCAGCATTGACATGGGATCAGTTCGCGGAGTTATTTTTGGAGAAGTTTCTCCCAGTTACTCAGCGGGAGGCACTATGCAGGCAGTTCGAGCGCCTCCAGCAGGGCTCCATGACAGTCACACAGTATGAGACTCGGTTCATTGATTTGGCACGCTATGCTGTTGTTATACTCCCCACCGAGAGAGAGAGGGTGCGGAGGTTTATTGATGGATTGATTCAGCCGATACGTCTCCAGATGGCTATGGGAGCTGGTAGTGAGATTTCTTTTCAGGAGGCGGCCAATGCGACCCGTAGAGTTGAGATGGCTCTTGCACGGGGAGGTGGTTATGGGTCAGACAAGAGACCCCGTCATGCAGGTAGATTCAGTGGTACCTCGTCTGGAGGTGGGGATTCTTATGGTAGAGGCCATCCTCCGAGGCCCTTTCAGTCAGCCCTACAGGTCTCACATGGTACTTCAGGTGGTCGTGGCTCTCAGCCGCAGTCTTCTGACCAGCAGCTTTTCAGTTCTCCATCAGCACCTATCAGCGCACCACCACTCCGTTATTCTCAGCAGCCGAGGGCTTGTTATACGTGTGGCGACACGAGGCATATTGCTAGGTATTGCCCTCGAGCTTCTGACAGCTCTCAGCAGCAGGGTCCTCGTCCTATGATTCAGGCATCAGGTGATCCACAGGCCGCCCAGCCAGCTAGAGGCGGGGGTAGAGGCCATAGGGGTGGAGGTAGGGATCATAGAGGTGGAGCTCGGACCGCCAGAGGTAGAGGCCAGCCAGCAGCCGATCGTCCCAGAGATATAGTTCAGGGAGGTGGGGCCCAGCCCCGGTGTTATGCTTTGCCAGCCAGGCCAGAGGCTGAGTCTTCAGATGCTGTTATTACAGGTACTATTCTGGTCTGTGATAGGGATGCTTCAGTGCTATTTGACCCTGGGTCTATGTATTCATATGTGTCGTCCTATTTTGCACCCTACCTGTCTATGCCTAGTGATGCTTTGGGTATTCCTGTTTATGTATCTACACCAGTGGGCGATTCTATAGTGGTCGACCGAGTTCATCGTTCCTGTGTGGTAGTATTTGAGGGTCTTGAGACCCGTGTTGATTTATTGCTCTTAGATATGGTGGATTTCGACGTCATATTAGGGATGGATTGGTTGTCCCCGTATCATGCCATCTTGGATTGTCACGCCAAGACTGTGACCTTGGTTTTGCCAGATTTACCCCGATGTCATGCCACTCGCAGTGTTATCTCCTATGTGAAGGCTCGACGCATCGTCGAGAAGGGGTGTCTAGCTTATCTGGCGTATGTTCGCGATTCCAGCACAGAGGTTCCTTCTATTGATTCTGTTCCTATTGTTCAGGAGTTCCCCGAGGTTTTTCCTTCAGACCTGCCGGGTATGCCGCCCGACAGGGATATTGATTTCTGTATTGATCTGGCCCCAGGCACGCAGCCCATTTCTATTCCGCCGTATCGCATGGCCCCGCCAGAGTTGAAGGAGTTAAAGGACCAGTTGCAAGATTTGCTAGGGAAGGGTTTCATCAGGCCTAGTGTTTCTCCTTGGGGTACGCCAGTGTTATTTGTGAAGAAAAAGGATGGATCGATGAGGATTGATGATTTGTTTGACCAGCTTCAGGGTGCAAAAGTGTTTTCAAAGATAAACTTGAGATCTGGCTACCACCAGCTGAGGATTAGGGCATCCGATGTCCCTAAGACAGCATTCCGCACTCGGTACGGGCATTATGAGTTCCTGGTCATGTCGTTTGGGTTGACCAATGCCCCAGCAGCATTCATGGAGTTGATGAACCGAGTGTTCAGGCCGTATTTAGACATGTTCGTGATAGTCTTTATTGATGATATTCTGGTGTACTCCCGCAGCCAGGAGGAGCACGAGCAGCACCTCAGAGTGGTTCTTCAGACTCTGAAGGATAGTCAGTTGTATGCAAAGTTCTTGAAGTGCGAGTTCTGGTTGAGTTCAGTTGCATTTCTGGTTCATGTTGTATCAGCAGAGGGTATTCAGGTGGACCCGAAGAAGATTGAGGCAGTCAAGAATTGGCCTCGACCAGCATCAGCTACAGAGATTCAGAGTTTCTTGGGGTTAGCAGGTTACTACCGCCGGTTCGTGGAGGGGTTTTCATCTATTGCAGCCTCGATGACCAGATTGACCCAGAAGGGTGCCCAGTTCAGATGGTCGGACGAGTGTGAGGCGAGCTTTCAGAAGCTCAAAGCAGCTCTGACTATGGCACCGATATTGGTTTTGCCCACAGGTTCAGGGCCCTATACAGTTTACTGTGATGCTTCCCGCATTGGGCTTGGTGCGGTATTGATGCAGGATGGCAGAGTCATTGCTTATTAGAGCTGTCAAAATGGGCCGGCCCAGCCAAGCCCAGCCCAGCCCTTGCGGGCCACAAAAGTTGATGGGCTAGGACGGGCTGGCCCTTCATGCAAAAGGGCCTAAAAATGGCTAGCCCAACCCAGCCCTAAAAGGGTTGCGGGCTAGGACGGGCCAGCCCTTTAATTTTAGTCTTTTTCTTAAGATAATTTTATTTTTAAATGGTTAATGAAGCTTCAAGAATCAAGATATGATGACTAATAAAGAAATGGAAAAGACTTGAAAACATACCAATAAAGTGAAACACATTTACAACTCAAACAGTGACAAAATTTATTATGAATTCATCAATACTTTGTATATATCATAATTGCAATTTTGTCAATTAAAATCAGGAAACCAAATAATTGTCTAAGTCATTAATAGATCAACCAAATATAAAAAATAAAAGCTCAACAACCAAAATATACTCTATTAGACTACTACGTAGTGTCTAATCAAATCTTAGGTCCATAAGACCATAACCAAACTGTCCCATTAATATTGCTAAAATAATATTGTATAATAAAAAGTCATTAAACAAATGACATCAGTCATCACAAAAATAAAAAAAGACCTTAATGAAATAAACTCCTACTAAAAAATGTTGTACTGGCACTTATAGCATATCCAATACCATCACATTGTCAGACATATCTAAATCCGCTTCTGATAAAGTTGCCTTAACATTGTCATCTTTATCTTCATATGCAATTCATATGCAATGTTGATTAGTTAAACATTAACAAATAACTATATTTTAAAAATAAACAATATTAAATCTACATAAAAAAATCTTACCACTTTGAGTTTGAGTAAAGCCGTGCAACCAATTTCGAGTAGCAACAAGTGTTTGGACATTTTCATGATGGATGCAACTTCTATATTTGGTGAGAACACGACCACCAATACTAAATGCTGATTCTGATGCTACAGTAGTAATCGGGATACTAAGTACATCTCGCGCCATTACTGATAAGTCAGGATATTTTCCAGAGTGATTCTTCCAATACATGATAACATCCATTTCGCGAAACTTCTCAAAATCAAGCTTTGGCTCCTCTAAATAAATATCCAATTCTGATTTTCCATCATTGGAAGCAGATACATTCTCAAATGCTTTGAATTCCTATAAGTTAAACACATGACAATACGCTTAAGATCTAATGATAATAATAATAATAATAACACTGAAAAAAAGAAATAGAAAAATAAAATTACTTACATCGAATATTTTGAATCCCGTTCCTTTGGATTTACTTCTTTCTTCACTTGGTGTAGTCAGAGTACTAGAAGAAGCACTCGCAATATTTTGCTTATTTCCATAATGATCATAGAGCTTGTACAATTTATTTTTCACATGCTCTATTTTTTCTTGTGCAGAAACTGAATCCAGCTTAGAGTAATAAAACTTTAAAAATTGTTACTTCATGCGCGGATCAAGGATTGCTCCAAAAACAAGCACTACACTATATAACGTCCAGTATTTTTTAAACTTTTCATGCATTCTTGAAGCCATTTACTTAATAACCTCATCTTCATTATTCAAATTCTCATTAAGCATGCACTCAATTCTCCAAACTTGCATAAAATACAAGTTGGATGTTGGATAACTTGAACCAGAAATCAAGTTAGTTGTCTCATAAAAAGGCTCCAAGAACTGAAATATTTTCTCCGCCCTTCTCCACTGATTCAATGTAGGACAATAAGTATAATTTCTATCTATTAAATGTAGACTAGCAAAAGCCTTTTCATACTGGAGTGCACTATCAAGCATCATATATGTCGAGTTCCATCTAGTTGATACATCCAAACGTAAACCAAGATTTGTTTCAATTCCAACTTCCTTTACACATTGCTCAAACTTTTGTTTTCTCCCATTCGATCCTTTAACATACTTAACACTTTCCCTTATTGAAAACAAGGAATCACTAGCTGCTTTCAAACCCTCTTGAACAATTAAATTCAAAATATGAGCAGAACAACGCACATGAAAGAACTCACCATCACACAACAAACTCTTTTGCAACCTAAGATGGCCTTTCAAAATATTTTGTAAGCTATCGTTGGCAGTGGCATTATCTAAAGTGATCGAAAATACCTTCTTATCTATGCCCCATTCTTTCAAACAGTCATATATAGCAGTAGCCAATTCAACTCCAGTGTGGGGAGGATACATACGACAGAAATTAAGAATTTTACAAACCAACCTCCAATTTTTATCAACAAATTGGGCAGTTGAACAAATATATCCCTCAGAGTTAGATGATGTCCAACAATCAGAAGTCAAGCATACCTTATTAGGAATTTTTGCTAAGATTTGTTTTAGTTTCTCCTTCTCTCGGACATACACTTTCTTGACATCTGCAACACAAATGTTCCTAGAAGGCATCTTAACATCTGGACTTATATAATTTACCCAAGACTTAATTCTATCATACTCGACGAAAGAATATGGCAAATTATGCTTAATGACAGCTTCAGCAAGGATACTACGGTGTGTCCATTGATCTATTTTTCTAGATTGCATTTTACCTTCTTGATTCAAGAACATTTGACCTAAATCATGAACTTTAAGCATTGGACACTGATATTTATGACGATGCAAATGTGATATTCCATAGTTTTTACCTTTGCGTCCCGGAGTTGAACCAACCTTGAATGGTTTCTTACACCCTTTACATTCAGCCCTTTCAATTCCATCTTTAGCTCTGCTAATTTTTTTGAAATACAGCCACACATCTGATGTTAACTTAGTTTTTTTCTGACTTGGTTCTGCAGGATCATTTACCTCCACAACGTCCTCAATATGTTCATTTGTTCCATTTGAATCATCCATTGGTCTTCCTGTAACGAAATTTCAAGAAGTGTTAAGTTTATAAAGTAAACATCACTGCCACTACAAGTTAGTAAAATTTTTGTAAGAAAATAATTATTAAAGTGTTTACTAAACTTTTGAACCAAATGTATCCCAAATCGTGCATTCACGATGTTATCGTAAAGGAATCTGACAACATCATTGTAATTTAAGGATAAATTCCTATTATCTGTGCATCACCTAGTTCACAACATTCTAAACCTACTCCTTTACTTATAATTAAAAAAGCTTCAAAAGCCTTTAAAGCATTCCATGCAAATAAGTAATTTATTTTTACTAATATGTTAACTGAATAGAATGTTGAGTTTTAATATGTTATTAACGAGAATATTAAGATTTACTATGTTATTTTCTTTGCCCAGATTATCATAAATATTATGTCATGAGACTTTTAAATAAACTATTAATAAGAGTTTTAGTATAGTATATTCATTTATATCTAAAGAGTAGTTGGTAGTATCATAAATTCATAATCTTTCTTTCTTTAATCCTCCCGAGAACGTACATTAAAAGCTGACTAATCCTTTCATAAATTAATATATTTCTTGCATTGCAACAAAATTCCCATTAATTTATTTTAGTTACTTCTAGATTAACTTTTTATATTTTTAATTAATTGACTTAACACAAATCAACACATACATCTAAAGACGTCAAAATATAGTAAATAAATAAAAACAAAAGCCTAAATATGATCCATATACATATACAAATGCATATAAAATAGACATAAACCCAAAGTAAAATAGAGAAATATATATGTGTAATAAAATATGAAGCAAACAGATCATTAGTCATGTACATAATGGATTGAATAGTCCAAATATTAATAAGATAGAAAGATTAGTAAACTCAAGAGAAAAAAACTAATTACCTGTAGTAAGTCGTCGATGCCAAAGATCAAGAAAGAGGTAGCGATAAAGAATTGAGGATTGAGGGGAGGTAGGCAGAGAGTTGCGATAGTAATATGTTGACTATTGAGGAAGAAAAGTTTATGATTAGGATTTAGGGTGCAAGACTTACGTCTTTAGCCCATTCTAAATCTTTACTTCCTTTTTTTTTAATTTAAAATTCTAATTAAATAAATTATTGGCCCGCGGGCCAGCCTCGGCCCAGCCTAAATCAAGCCTCAAGGGCCGCGGGCTAACTTGGATCGGGCTTCTTAGCCTCAGTTATAAAATGGGCTTAAAATATCTTAGCCCAACCCTACCCTAATAGCGGGCTGGGTTGGGCTGGCCTCATGGGCTAAGCCCATTTTGACGGCTCTATTGCTTATGCTTCGAGGCAGTTGAAGATCCACGAGAAGAATTACCCAGTTCATGATCTCGAGTTGGCAGCCATTGTTCATGCTTTGAAGATTTGGAGGCATTACCTATATGGTGTGACGTGTGAGGTGTACACGGATCACAAGAGTCTGCAATACTTGTTCAAGCAGAAGGAGTTGAACTTGAGGCAGAGGAGGTGGTTGGAGCTATTGAAGGACTATGATGTTACTATTTTGTACCACTCGGGGAGAGCCAATGTGGTGGCCGATGCATTGAGTAGGAAGTCCGCCAGCATGGGTAGTCTTGCTTATGTTCCGGTCAGCCAGAGACCGCTTGCTTTGGATATTCAGGCCCTGGCCAATCGATTTGTGAGGTTGGACATTTTGGAGTGCTAGCTTGTACGGTCGCTCGTTCTTCATTATTGGAGCGCATCCGTGATCGACAGTTTGATGATCCCCATTTGTGTGTCCTGAGAGACACGGTGCAGTGTGGAGGTGCCACGAAGGTGACCTTAGATGAGGATGGTGTTTTGAGGTTGCAGGGGCGAGTTTGTGTGCCCAATGTCGATGGGATTCGAGAGTTGATCTTAGCGGAGGCCCATAGTTCTCGGTATTCTATTCACCCGGGCGCCGCGAAGATGTATCAGGACTTGTGGCAGCTTTATTGGTGGCGTAGGATAAAGAAAGATATTGTTGCATATGTGGCTCGGTGTTTGAACTGTCAGCAGGTTAAGTATGAGCATCAGAGGCCTGGTGGGTTGTTTCAGAGGATTGAGCTTCCCGAGTGGAAGTGGGAGAGGATTACTATGGATTTCGTTACTGGACTTCCGATGACTCGGAAGAAGTTTGATGCTATTTGGGTCATTGTTGATAGGCTGACCAAGTCAGCGCATTTTATTCCTGTTGCAGCCACCTATTCATCAGAGAGGTTAGCTGAGATCTACATCCGAGAGATTGTTCGCCTTCATGGGGTGCCGGTATCTATTATTTCGGATCGGGGTACGCAGTTTACCTCGCGCTTCTGGAGGGCAGTTCAGCAGGAGTTGGGCACCCAGGTTCAGTTGAGCACAGCGTTCCATCCTCAGACGGACGGCCAGTCCGAGAGGACTATTCAGATATTGGAGGATATGCTCCGAGCCTGTGTCATTGATTTTGGAGGCTCGTGGGACCAGTTCTTACCTTTAGCAGAGTTCGCCTACAACAACAGCTACCAGTCCAGCATTCAGATGGCTCCATATGAGGCGTTATATGGTAGGCGATGTCGGACTCCAGTCGGATGGTTTGAGCCGGGAGAGGCTCGATTATTGGGTACAGATTTAGTTCAGGAGGCCTTGGACAAGGTCAAGATCATTCAGGACAGGCTTTGTTCCGCTCAGTCGCGGCAAAAGAGTTATGCGGATCGTAAGGTTCGAGATGTAGCTTTCATGGTTGGTGAGCGGGTCTTGCTCCGAGTGTCGCCTATGAAGGGCGTGATGAGATTTGGGAAGAAGGGCAAGCTTAGCCCTAGGTTCATTGGCCCATTTGAGATTCTCGATCATGTGGGAGAGGTGGCTTACAGACTTGCCTTGCCGCCCAGCTTGTCAGCCGTGCATCCAGTGTTTCATGTGTCCATGCTTCGGAGGTATCACGGCGATCCAGCCCACGTGTTAGATTTCAGCACTGTCCAGTTGGACAAGGATCTGTCTTACGAGGAGGAGCCGGTAGCCATTCTAGACCGGCAGATTCGATAGTTGAGGTCGAAGAGTTTTCCATCAGTATGTGTGCAGTGGAGGGGTCAGCCTCCTGAGGCATCGACCTGGGAGTCCGAGTCTGATATGCGGAGCCGTTATCCTCACCTATTCCCTGACTCAGGTACTTCTTTCTTTTGTCCGTTCGAGGACGAACGGTTGTTTTAGAGGTGGAGAATGTGACGACCCAAAGGGTCATCACCGGACTTCTAACTATTTCCGAGCTTCCGAGGCCTTAAAAACCTCCCTTTTAGTTGCCTCGATTTGCGTGCGAAGTCCGAGCGCGAAGCCGGCAAACTTTTATGTTGAAATATGTGAACTTTGTGAAAAATTTGAAGAATTTTGATATTAATATTGCTAAAGTTGACTTTGGTCAACATTTTTGGCAAACGGACCCGGACCCGTGATTTGGCGGTCCCAGAGGGTCCGTAGAAAAATATGAGACTCGGGCATATGCCCCGAGTCGAATTCCGAGGTCAAGAGCCCGAGAAATGAATTTTTTCTGTGAAATTGTTTTTCTGAAATTCTTAAGGAAAATGGAAATAAAAATTGATTAAAAGACTATGGTATCGGGCTCGTATTTTGGTTCCGACGCCCGGTACAAGTCTTAAATATGTGTTAAGCGCTTTCTGTAAAGTTTGGTCGAAATCGGACGTCATTTGACGTGTTTCAGACCTAAATATCTAAAGTTAGAAGTTTAAGAAGTTTGAAATGAAAATGATGATTTTGAGGCTTGATTCATGGATTTTGATGTTATTTAGGCGATTTGATCGCACGGTTAAGTTCGTAGGATATTGTTGAGTTAGTCCATCTGTTCGGGTGTGATTCGGATGTGTTTTGGGATGGTTTTAGCCTTAGGAATGCTGCAGAAAACTGCTGTTGCTGGTGTCTGCGATCGCGTACATTCTTCTGCGATCGCGTAGGGTTAATTGATCAGGCCCATTTTCTGTTCTATGCGATCGCATGAACTCCTCTGCGATCGCGTACCTTAGCCCCTTCATTCTTTGCGATCGCATTAAGCTTCCGCGATCGCGTTTCATTAAACCAACCCCGGTATGCATAGCCCCTTTTCTTCTATGCATTCGCATGACCCATTCTGCGATCGCAGTGGTCAATTTTCCCTTCCCCTATGCGATCGCAAGCCTCCTTCTGCGATCGCATAGAGTAAATACGCCCAGTTATATTTTTATGTCCAGAATAGTAGCAGCACGGGATTTCTCATTTTTTTCACACGACCTCTTCTCTTAAACCCTCCAGAGACGAAATTCAAGCTCTCCTTCCTCCATAACTCTTTGGGTAAGTAATCTTAACATCATTCCCTCATTATTTCTTCATCTAATTACTAATTTCCTAGCCCTAAATCATGAAACCAAAGTAGAAATTAAGAGTTTTGGGTAGAGTTAGGTTTTTGGAAATTTTGGGTGATTCAACCTCAATTTGGGGTCGAATCTTGAAATAAATTATATATTTGAACTCGTGGGGTTATGGGTGATTGGGTTTTGGTCCGAGCCTCGTGTTTGGACCATGTGGGACCGGTGTCGAATTTTGGTGTTTTGGGAGAATGGTTGGAAAAATTCATTTCTAGACTATGAGATTATATTTTTGAGCCTTATTGATATTATTGAACTAATTATGACTAGATACCATTGTTTCGGAGCCGGATTGTAGAGGAAAGGCGGTAATTGAGGGTTGATTGCTATTCTTTGGACCGAGGTAAGTGTTTGTTCTAACTTTGGCTTGAGGGAATATGATTAGGATGTTATTTGCTACTTGCTAAATATGGAGTACGGTGTATAGGCATGGTGACGAGTATCTATACATCAGTGTCTAGCATGACCGTGAGTCTTAATTGTTTTAAATCGAATGATGTGACACCACTACCTTGTCTAATGAATAAATTTCTTATAATGTGAACGGTTGAGGAGGAATTGTGATTGATATATTTTGGAACGTTGGTTCGAACAAGAATG